ATAGATACTAAAATACTGACACCAGCAATATATGCGAAAACGGCACATACAGTTGTTAAAATACTCTTCTTTTCTCCAAGAAGACAATGAGACAGTTAGATCAACGTGGGTGCTATCATCCTAACAATGAACGTTCTATATAACGGTGGGAACCATATCTTTCACGCTTGCAACAAAACAGTAGTTCAGCTTGTACGCGTAACGTGTCACTTCACTGTCGTGAGTTCGAAGTTAAAACTGTCACGAATCATTATTACCATGTTGTAGAGCACAGCCAAAAACATAAGGAAACTCACTTTCTAATGTAATTTCTTGCAGAAAATCGTGGATGATATGGAGACAAATATGTCACTAACAGAGGGCACAGAAATGCATTTATATTCTGCTGATTGTTTGTGTTCGTATGTTGTATCAGCTTCATGTATCCGAAGTTACTCATGAGCAGGTAACACTACTCTCATAGACGTATCTTTACGTCAACCAATTAATTTTCTGTATCTTGTTATCTGCCTTAACGGCGTTATTCAAAACTCCGCTATTTTTTATGTCATCGCGTTACAAAAAACATGTATTTTTCTCTCAGCCATTGCGCATCGTAAGTTTCTTTTTCTAAAACTTCGGTGCACAAAGTTAACCTTTTATGAGCTATCCAATGGAGAAACTTCTATTGAAAAATGGGTTGCCGTTCGAATAATGCAGCGTAACGCGATGACGAATTTCGATGTTTTCATCGGGTTTTATTCGTGATATTCAGTTATTTTCATCATATCTTTCGATGGAACCATGAAATGGGTCTGATATTTTTACAATAAACTACTCTTATTAGGGTCTCTCCCTGTACAAAATTTCAAATCGAAACTCGAAAATAAATTTTTCTGATATCCCTGAGGAGGACCATGAAAATAAGTCATCCCAATGCGTTCAAACACAGTATCTCAGCAAATAGAGAATTTGAGCATGAACTTTTTTAAGGCGTTTGTCTTTACTGCGAATTCTACTTACAGGCAAACTACGGGCTCAAAGAGACGACCCTTTTTGGAAGAAGTTCCCCAATTCATAACGCTAGTGCATAGGCTTAAGGCTCTTAAGTTTTCGTTTGCTGAATTTATAATTTCGAATCCATAAGTACTTTAACTATTCGTTTATTGTGTCATTAGAGAAGTAGTGTTATTGTTTTCATTAAATTATATATACAGCAAGAGAAAACATAAATACAAACTCACTTAAAAACTCAAACGTCATCGCGTTACGTTTGCTTAAAATACGCTTCTTCAAATAGAGACATTTTTAGGGACTGTAGTACCAGTCGTTAGATACATTAGGTTGCTAGCTATAAACGTTTTGTTGAGCGTTTCCTTCCGTCACACGTACATTCGCAGAAAAATAAGAAACAAACAGGCCACTCTCACTTCTATGGCCCTTTTTGCATCATCGCATTACGTCCTTTATTTTTATTCTCACCACCGAACAATTCGCTCAAATAAGTTGACATTTTGAAAGAACGTGAAAGTGATCGGAATATAAATTTTTGTAAAGAAACGAATGAACTGCTAAGTGTCACTTTTAAGAAAAATGAAAAGAAATGTGTTCAAAACGTCATCGCCTTACGCGCGTACAGCCTGCTATACCTTTTACATACGTCCTTGCTAACACCGTTACTTTGAAGACCCTCCACAGTAATCTCAATCTCCTATTAATCTTTCTCTGAACCAAAGTGTTGATGAAAAGTTTCGTGACGTTGGCTATCGCGGAGATTCCATGGATAGCGAACAGGCAGGCAGGCTTTGCTCTTTACATGTGTCGCAGTGGCGTAACCAGGATTTTTAGACCAATGGGTAAACTTTGCTTAGGTTGGAAAAAAGTAGTGGGCAAAACGGGCAAGCTTTTTGTCCATAGGGCAAAACTTTTACACTGATTCAAGTTTCAAAACACGACCACAAACAGAAGTGAAAAATAAGGATCTTTCATTTTTTAGTATAAAAAACAGAAGAAAGTCCAATACGCTGTCTTGTTTCCTTCACTGTAGTGCAGTATAAGAGAATGCAAGACAGGAGTGCCCCGACGGTGCGAAGAAAATCGGTTGGAGTCGCGAATCTTCACGTTAATCTCGCAAATTTTGTTTATTTTTACTCACNAAAGCGTAAGGAATCGTTAGCGAATGACTAATTGAGCGTGACTCCTAATTATCGATATACACAGAAATGTAATTAAATTAACTGATAGACAATTTATTGAATTAGTCAGAAACTGAAATTTATTTTTATAGAGAAATACTATAGGCAGTCGAATTGAGTTGTACAGCTATATGTGAGTGATTGGTAGTCAGAAGATTTAACAGACGTCTTTCCAAATTTTCATTGATTTTCTTTTTCTTCGGTGGTTCACCAGCGTTGATGTGAACCAGATCAGCGTGAACAACTTTTTCTTCATCGATTATTTTTTGTACAAAGAGCCACAGCGTCGGATGAGCACATTGGAAAGTTGAATTAATTCTTCGATGATATGCTTCCGCACAATTGTTTGTTCTCATAGAAGATTGTTTTGTTCGATTATGCATTCTCCAGAAAGAAATGTCAAATAATGGTTTTCGACGAATTCGATTTGATCTTAACTTTCCTGATAACAAATGTATAAAAAGGATATTAATTCAAAACCACAGTAGTGCTTACCTATATACGTTGATTCAAAGTAATCTAAAATATCATCATATCTCTCGCCTATTTCTTCACATAATAATTCAAATCCATCAACGACAGAGCCGGGTTCCAAAAACGCCAATGCTGCAATTTTATGAATGTTGTGCGCCTATACAGTATCATTTTGATATTCATTTTGATGACCGAGTTCCTATACAAGAGAGATAGTGATGTTTTCTTTTATCAAAACTATTGAGCACCTGTAATTTTCGATGGATACTTTGACGAAGATGAAAATAACATCCTGACAGATGTATAATTGGAAATTTGGTTTGAAAGGCATTAATAGATGCTTGTTCAAAGTCCATCATTATCAAGCGAGGCGACCAATTTGGAGCAATCTTGAGGATTTCGTCAATTAAACGTTGGTAAGTATCAGTATTTTTTCGTCTTAATAAAGCATAAATCACAGGAACAACATAATTACGATAAACAGCATGGATAATAAACAGTTGATAGAAGTTTTCAGGAACAACTTTGAATGTGCCGTCAACTAAGAATTCTTCAGACGTTTGTAAAATTTGTAATTGTTCGGGACTTGCGAAGATTAATATTCGATCATCACCTGAAATAGAGACAACAGTTGTTAACATAATTANATGGTGCTTGATTAAATTTATATCCTAGTTTGATAATGCATTTTTTTAATATTCTATAGCTTGAAGTTCTTTTTCGATTCTTTGACTAGGAACTAGCACCGCATGACAGTTCATCTGAACTTGAACTAATTCATATGGCTAGTTCTTTTGAAATAGAACTGATCGATAGTTATAGTTCGTTTCAAATAGAACTTTTAATTCTTTACAGTTCTTTTGAACTTCAACTATTTTATAGTTACAGTTATTAGAACTAAACGGGAACTGTCGCAGGCCTAGACCCAAGTCTCTAAAAGAAGTTTTTCTGAATTTTTACGATTTTGTTCGTGGAAAAAAACCCGCTCCGGGCTCAGATCGTGAGCAGAATGCAAAATCAGGGGCGGAGTCAGGACTTTGAGCTAGGGGGAGGGGGAGATGAGCCCCCTGGCTCCGCCACTATGCAAAACAAGTAACGCGGCCTAGTAGCCGCTAAACCCTCTACTGAAAGGATAGTATTAGAGTTAGAGCGCTACTATTCGTCCGAATAGTGAAAAAAGTTATTTCAGTTGAACGATTGGATCTTTTGATAATTTGTCAGAATGTTTTACGTAGACTAATTTCACTTCCTGAAGTCTTCTGAAATTATAACACCTAGTCGTTTGTCGGCCTCTCTCCGGTCGATCATTCACCGCTAGCCGTTGATACCTAATTAGTGTTTAACGATATTTTCATATTAAAAAGTACCTTGTTCTTGTTGAGTCCGTCTCTAGCAAAGTTGCCGAAATTCTTCACAACTTCGTGACCTACAGTATATATTTTATTATCATTTTACTTGAATGAGTCGGTGATCTACATAGTTTTTTCTCGAAGCTCGAAAGGACGTTGTATATATGTCGTATCGAAGATATAACTTCGACAAAAAGCTAACTTCGATACGACATATATATATATATATATATACCTTAGAAAAATTATGGGCACTATGCGACAATCTTATAAATCTCACTTTTCAACTAATTTTCAGAAGAAGCATCTAGTAGTTCGTCGGCCTCCCTTCGGTCGGCTACTCACGGCCACCTTTTCCCATGCGTACTCATTTTACTATCTTAAGTTCACACGGACGAAGATGCGTTCCGAAAATGATCTCATTTCGGAAAATCAATTCATAATCAAAAACTTAGAAGCTTTACATAGCTATATGATTCTCTGGAAAAGGTTTCAATCTTCTCTCCACCACGAGGAACCTTATATAGCTGCTAGCTATGTTCGTGCAGAGCAACGACTAAGTTCTGTCCGAGGAATCTTAAAGCTCTATAAAAATCACAAAATTTGTTCTTGAATATATTTTTCTGGAAATCAACGACTAGTCGCTCGTCAGCCTCCCTCTGGTCGACCACTCGCGGCTAGCCGTTACATGTACATTTTCATTCCTCCATTTAGTCTAGAGCCACTTTTGAAACTAATCCATTCATTCTCCTCTATTTCCTCTTTAAAAGTCACCCTCTTTGTGCTACTGTGACTCTCGAAGACAACACTTGACAAGCGAAACAATATTTTGAATGGCCGGCATCAGATGGTATTCGTATAGTATAGCTGTTTATAAAAGTGCGTGATCTCATTAATACGCTGATGACTATGGAGATCCAGCGATCGGACATGAGTCAGCTATTACATTTTTTGTTCTACATATTGCCGCTTAAAACATTATCGTCTAAAAATTGATCCTTTATCGCAAAAAAAACGGGCCAGAAAGTGTTCATGAAAAAACTAACACCGGATTCGAGATCCTCGACCTCGATTACCCCCTTCGATCAACCCTTACTACTATGAGCTAGTATTAGGTAATATTGGAAGAAAAATGAACGAACGAACGAACATCAACTCGTTTTTTCGGTGATACCAGCTCGACGCACTACCCTCCTTTCAGTAGAGGGAATAAAAACCGATCCTGATCGGTATCAAGTTTTTAAGACTGAAGCAAAAAACAAATCAGAATACTTCAGTCATTAGAAAGCTCCGTTAGTTTTGAAGACATAATAGTGAGTTTTTCAACTTATCTCTATGTATGTAATGATTTCAAAGTTAGAGACAGAGAATACACTTGCAATATGCCTTCAAATTTGACCAGCTTTGTAGAGTTAACCATCAGACGTGAGCATATCACAACGTCTGATCGATTGGATAAGAAGTTTTAGAAAATATGAAGTTCAAAAGAAAAAAATACTTTTTCATACATTTCTGAGCTAATGAAGTAAAGAAGCTTTTGTCAAACCCCTTGAGGCCAAAAAGCGAAAAAAAACATAATGAAAATGCCTACCACGACTTTGATCCTACATAAGTGTAGACGAACTTACGATGCCTATGCCAAATTTTCGAAAATTTAAAGTACCCAGAGATCAAGACAGCACACAATATCAGGAAATGTAACGCACTGGACTGGAAAAAAGTACAAATAGAGAATCTCACTCTTACCTTGAACTTCGGCGGTAGCATAGCTAACATCTAGCCTCATGTATGCAGTTTCATATAAAAAAAGTAACGCTCATCCTTAGAATTCGCTGACCGTTTTCCGAAAGAATTGTCTCAGTACTCAATACATTCAGACGCTTCGAAAGACAAATAAGGCACTGCTATTGCTGCTAGTCCTCAGCTGAAACATGCCAGGGTATCAGATACTAGAGTGAATAGAAAACAAAGGTTGCTCTTTTTCAGGAATCGAACAAATCAGCCATTTGTGAGCGAGTGATTCTCGAGCACTACTTGTGTTTACTGAAAACCCCATCGCTCAATGGCTAGTCGTTCGTCGTCCTCTCACGCCTGGCCGTTGATACATCATCAATTTTTATTTTTGATATTTTCATATAAAAAGTAGCTCGTTCATTCCGACTTGGCATTATTAAGTCGGTCTCCAACCGAAGTTATCAAGATCCTACATAAATGTGTAATGTACGGTACATATTTTATTCTTGTCTTCAGTTTGAGAAGCTCATCATTTGCAGGGCTTATTCTCGAAACTTGAAGAGACATCAATTATGTTCGTTCAAAAATCATTGACATTAGATGAGACTCTTCTAAATCTCATCTTTGAAGTAATTTTCAAAACAAATATCTAGACGTTGGTCGACCTTCCTACGGTCGGTCACTCACGGGCTGCTGTTGCCGTGCGACCTTCGTTGTGCCTTTCGTCTTTGACTAGCTTTTAGAATGCATAACTACGTTCCTTTGTTCTTCTCTTTGTCGCTTCGAAAATGGTGATCTTCCATTCATTGGACTACGAAAAGAAAATACATGAAACGTCTTGTTCTATTATTTGTAGTGAAAAGATCATCCGCCATAATGCTCCGTATGTTTAAAAGACTATTTTCATAGTCTATGTCTCTGTAGTTAATAAGGTCGAATTGCTGTGACAGATATATCTCTTTGCCACTCTGTAAAAATAATGGCGTCATACTGAACCATAAAAGGTTCCACATTTTGGTACCATTTTCAGAACCCTCTAAGGTTCAAGCACAATCTGCTTTTATCCAAAACTTTTCTTGATTTTCCTAAAAATAGTTCTAGCCTTCCAGAGAACAGCTCATTTTAGTCGCTTTACTTTCCACTATCGATTGGTTCTATATCAGACTACTTACATTCGTTTTTTCCTCACCATTTCTATANCAGATGATATTCGTATAGTATAGCTGTTTATAAAAGTGTGTGATCTCATTAATACGCTGATGACTATGGAGATCCAGTGATCGGACGTGAGTCAGCTATTACATTTTTTGTTCTACATATTGCCGCTTAAAACATTATTGTCTAAAAAATTGATTCTTTGTCGTAAAAAACGGGTCAGAAAGTGTTCATGAAAAAACTAACACCGCATTCGAGTTCCTCGACCTCGATTACCCCCTTCGATCAACCCTTACTACTATGAGCTAGTATTAGGTAATATTGGAAGAAAAATGAACGAACGAACGAACGAACGAACGAACGAACGAACGAACGAACGAACGAACATCAACTCGTTTTTTCGGTGATACCAGCTCGACGCACTACGCTCCTTTCAGTAGAGGGAATAAAAAATTTCATTCGTGCATTTGGCAACTGGTTCAGCTGGAGATCATTGGCAAACACGAGAATATTGCCGATTCACCACCAGTAATTGGTAGTCTTGCGCAGGACGAATCGGTTGATGTAGAATTCATTATATCCAAGCACTTGATTCGCGTATAATCAGGAATTTCAACATGAATACTCATCAAAAATGTATGTATAAGCCTTGATCTTGGGAATACAACTCAATCTTGGGATAAACAAAGATATTTTATACAATCTCTCAACGTTTTCTATTACTTCTGCACAAACGCTTCTAGTTAATCTGAGGAAACACGTGATTTAATCGAACTGCTCTCTTTCCCGAAAAGTCTCAACATCAACCTTGTATATGCTGACATTCAAAGTTGTATTTTTGAAGAGTCCAAATACTTAAATGGTATCGATTGTCTATTACTCGTTAGCTCCTGCATATGGCTACTCATTATTGATCTTGAATCGACGATGTATCAATCTCTGTCGGGCCCATTCGGTTGAACCAGGTGCCAAATGCACGAATGAAATTTTCCTTGAAAACGATGTTGAAATCTAGCGAAACAGTTCGATCAGAAATTGAAATGTTCATTTCGGCAACAGAAATGAAATGGCAGTTCGGTTGACCTTCTACCGCTGGATTTTGATGTAACTCGAGGCAAGGAACATTTGTTAATACACTCTGAAGATCATATCTTGCTGTTCAGACATGGAAAATGTTCATTTACTATCAATTTTTCGACTTCCATGCATTTTACATGGAGTGTTCGTATTAGGAACAGTATTTAGCTGAATTGTTCGTATTGCGAACATGGTCCCTAATACGAACAGCAGCGCTTGTGAAGTTTATACCGCTAATTACTCAACTAATTAGTGAGATAATTAGCTGATTTTTACATCATTCGATGCGCGAAATTCGGCTCTACTCCGAAATGGAAAAATATTTTTTATATGTTGAGAAATGATTGAGAAAATTACAAAAGAACAGAAGGTGTTGACAACCCTTTTCGAATTAGGCACATCGCCTCTATAGAGGTAATGGATAAGCTGCTGATCTATCATTAAGCATATGCTTCCAAAGCCATATATTGGTGTCTTTAGGCACATCAGTAACTATCATTCTCAACGAAGGAAGAAATTTCGATTTTTCTTCTTCCTGTCTCATTATAATACATTTGAAACACAGCAGTCAGTCTTCTCCCCTACTCATGATTTATTAATAGGCAATGTCGCTGACTGAAAATTAGTGTCAACTATTTTTATTATCATTTTGTGAGTTATTTAGGACAACTTGATGTGCTCTTTCTAACCATGCTGTTTCATCGGATTCATCGAGTCAAATGGCCGTAAAACTCGAAGATTTCTTCGGAGATCTTTTTATAAGACACAGAACTCTCATGATACTTCTAGCAGTTAACTCTGTGAAACTACTCTTTAATGAGCTCAATTTGAACCAGAGACTGTCACGGACCAAAAAATTGGTCCTGCCCTGTCACTGCTTCTAGTCTTGTTCGTCCTGTCCCGCCCTGCACGACTCACTAATTTTATTTTATTGCCCTGTCCGACAGGACAGTACAGGACGTCCTGCAGGACTAATAGAAGTGTACTCTCTTGATGTCTTAGAACAATTGGAACACCACATTACAATTACAACACATAAGTTTCGTTCTCATCGCACCTTTTGATCTATCCGTATGGGAAAATGCGATCACGCTTCATATAGAATTTTAAAATGCTAATAGGAAAACAAAATTAGTTCATCGAGGTTGCACTTTGAAAATATACAAAACAAAATTACGAAAATATCTGCAAATACTGTGTCAATTTTCGAACTGATCGTGTAAATAGAATATTATCTAATTGCTGAGGACTGAGATTGGTGCGCCGCCTATTGATCACGCAGCCCGCAGTCGAAAACTGACGTTCAACGGCTGCTGCGGTAGCCGGTATTGAATGGATTTTCTTGGGGAGCGTCGATAATAGCGGGAACTGTCATGAATACGCTTTCCGGAATACCAATGGACTGTTCTATAAGGTTTGCTTGTCGGCATCCTTGATCAAATATCGATGAATTTCATCTGATTGTTTCCAATTATATCCGTATACTGGAAACGAGATTCTTTCAGCAATGTCAACAGGACTAGCAACGTTGACCTGTCCTGCACTGTCGTATCGACAGTTGATTTCTAGTACGGGAGAGGACAGGACAGTGGAATTAAAAAGACGTCATGACCTGTCCTCTGTACCAGGACCGCCCTGTCCTGATGACAGCCTCTGATTTGAACTGCAATGATATTATCTTGAGAAGTCACATCACATGTACTAGAGCAATTTTAACTACACAAATGTCTTGACAAAAGTATCTCTAAATGACTTTTTACAGGAACTCACAGACAATTTGATACCATAAAAGTTTGAGGTAATATGACGTAGAAATTTTCCGATTAATAACTCAAAATACATGAGATAGAAAGTACTAAGTCTACAACAAAAAGAAATATACGAAAAGCTCTATAGTTATGAAACAATAAATATTTATAATTTTTCAATTTTTTCTCGACTATCGGTGAAATCGAAATAGGATAACAGACTGGCAGGTAGTACATATACAGTCCCACATACACATGTCATAAGTTATTGATTATTGGTGGTTGTTGAAATACAATAAAACAATCTGTATGCCTGTGAGATAGGGATTTATAATTCTGTCATACCCTGTAATGGGTGCGCCAGGTGAATTGGATCTCTCAGTATTTTGCTTATAACTTTGATTCCTTTTGATATTTAGAGCTGTTTGTTTCACCACACGATGCGCCTTGAAATTCTCTATAAAACCATAATTGATCTCATATTTATAGATTTTAGAATAAATGATTAAATGCAAAATACTGAGGATATAAGAGGCACCTAATTTTCAAAAGCAGAAAACGTCATCTGAGTGACTACTTTCTTACATGTTCTTTTTAATAATCGAGCATATATACTCTCAATAATACTGTATCATGCGATGCAGCGTGAAAAGCTCTGTAAGATGCAGTATTAAATCTAGGTTATATATATATATATATATATATATAGACATCTTATTTTCAAAATGGCGCACAGATGTTTTTCGAGTTTATAAAAACGATATTGTTTTTGTCAGATAGTCTTTTGCGTAGTTTAAAAGCAATTGATGTGTTCAGATAAAATGGCTTGTTCTGCAAATTGTAGAGCTTTCTATCGCGTATCTTGTGATATATTCAGATTTATTGTCCTGGAAGACTTCAGGTATAATAAAGATGAAATAACAATAACGAATTTCGAATGTGTATATGAAGTGACCTTTCTTATAAACTCGAAAAAAAGTTGTACATTGTTTTGAAAATAAAAAGTACATGCATAAACTAAATTTAATGATGAATCTGATAGAACTTTTCACGCTGCATCTTTTAGTGTAATTTGTTCGTAAAAAAAGTATAGATAACCACACTTATTGTTTGCGAAACAGTTATTTGCTTTGAAAGTTAGGTATATTTTATGGTTGCAATATTTTTCATTTAATGGTCTTTCCTAACATTTTATAAATGTGAGATTGATTATGATTTTATACCGAATTTCAAGGTACATCGTGTGGTGAAACAAACAGCTCTAAGTATCAAAATAAGCCAAAGTTATAAGCAAAATACTGAGAGGTTCATTTTACCTGGCGCACCCGTTATTTATCGTTAGAAATTCAGTCTAAGTGCTTCAGTATGTTACTATCAGGAACGTTCCAGGAGTTTCGAAAGATTTGGAAGCTCAAATACACTTTAACGAACGTGATTAATTCCTTTTTGGCCTTTGGAGTTTATAATCGATCAACGTATTTGTACAGACCAAAATAAGTTTCATAAGAAGTTCTTCATATTATACATGATACACATCTTTTCTCCATTTTTTCATCTTCGCTCACACTTGGAACAAACATAACTAATATCAAATTTTATATTTCTATATAAGACTGATAGAAATAGCAATGTAGATTCCTATCCTAAATCTATAAAACTTCCATTCATTTCAATAGCTGATTATCTTTTTCGTTCAAACTCGAAAATAAGCGTCGGATTATTTTTACTATTTTGAAAACGGAAATATCAGCTCACTTCTCAATCGCATCGGACAATACTTTACAACTATGCCAGATCAACGAAAATTTCGTAATTGTCGCCTTTCATAACTGCTCTCTTCTTAGAAAAGTCATAGTTGTGGTAGTATCACATACTCCTTTCAGTGAACTTCTACGCGCTTCAGCACCAGCATCGTATGTTCAAACACGCATTTGGCTTAATGATCACGTTCAAGACAATCCCAGCAGCACTCATACTGGCACTTGCAACATGTCATTTTCATATCAAATATCATCTGGTGGTACATTACATATCTCAAGATTACGACGTGCACTCCATTCTGTTGTTACGAAACATGAGTCACTTCGTACATCACTCTTTTTCGATGTGGAGAAAAANGCTTCAGCACCAGCATCGTATGTTCAAACACGCATCTGGCTTAATGATCACGTTCAAGACAATCCCAGCAGCACTCATACTGGCACTTGCAACATGTCATTTTCATATCAAATATCATCTGGTGGTACATTACATATCTCAAGATTACGACGTGCACTCCATTCTGTTGTTACGAAACATGAGTCACTTCGTACATCACTCTTTTTCGATGTGGAGAAAAACATACTGATGCAACGAATCATTGAACCAGATGATAATGACGATGATAATAGCCGATTATTTACTCTTTCAGAAAGCTCATTCAAAACCGAGGATGAGCTAAACAAGATCATATATGATGAACGAACTAACACCACTCATTTTGATCTTTCGGGAGCTCTTGTCTTTCGTTGTCATGCTGCTCATCGCAAGCAATCTGTTTCTAGCGATCAACTATGTGAAGGCGATGTACTCATTTTTAGTTTTCATCGTGCTCTTTTCGACGTTCCTTCCATACATATCTTTCTTCATGATCTTAATAAGGCATATGCGATGGAACAAGTGTTCAGCGAATGTTCTAACTGTCTACGATACATTGACTGTAAGTCGACGGTTTTTTACTGCAGAAAAAAGAAGTGTATTTCTCGCTGAATGTAGATTCTGTCGCCGAACGGGACATGCCCATGATTACCGCCAGTACGTTTTGGGCTCAAGCTCTTCAAGACTATGATATTGATCGACCAATGCCATTACCATTCATTGAACACCATGCTATCGATGGACATCGAACACGACGTCGAGTATCCACCTCATTTGACTTCGATCATGATCTGTCACAAGCCATTCTAACCTTCGCTTCAACCGATGGCATACAACTCCAATGGTTATATCTCACTATCTACTATATTTTCTTGTTCAAGATGGCGAATGGTGAGCAAGACTTGTGTGTTACTATGAACACAGATGGTCGATATCAAGATGAATTAAAATCGATTATTGGCATATTTGGCAATATCATTCCTCTGAGATGCCGAATAGATCCTCGCAGCTCTTTTACAAGACTCGCAGAAGATACTCTGTTGATGACAACTCGCAGTTTTCACTATTCTTATTTTCCTTTCGAACGAATTCTCGCCCAATGTTCTATCAATGCGAACCCAACCTTTCTCAACACATCATTCACTTTTTATTCACACACAACCCATCAAAAGTATGCCCAAGTAAAGCTTGATGATGTTTCCTTACAAGGAATATTTTCTCCGAACACGATCCATTCAAACATGAATATGCACACATCCGATTTCTCACTCTCTCTTGAACATGATCTTACTATTAATAGAATCTCCTTAACTGTCGACACATCGGCCGATCTGTTTAGTGTGGACATTGTCGACAAATTCGCTCAACGATTCTTTCTTCTGTCCAAGTGTTTGTTTGGTACTGATATCGATCGACCAGTCTGTGAGCTTTCAGTGGTTTTGCCCGATGAAATTACTCTTATTCAATCATTTCGCAACACGGAGATCGTTTTTCCACCATTCGGCTGTGTACATCACGAATTTAGTCGTCAAATAATCACAAATTCACAGAAATTGGCCATTGTACTCGATAAACAGTCACTTACATATAGTGAGCTGTTGTTCCATGCACAGCATGTAGCTTTATATCTGGGACAGCGTCAAAAACAGATAATTTGTCAATGCATGGAGCGAAGCATTGAAATGATTATAGGTCAAATGGCTATTCTTTTTTCTGGTGCTGCCTACTGTGCCTTATCACCTGAAGACCCTGTGGAGCGTCTTGCTGCGTTAGTGAAACAAGTTGGAAGTCAACACATTCTCATTCATCCGTCTACAAGAAATAAGTTCGATGAAGATGTGAGTTTATGTCTTCACGATCTTATCATTATTCTATCAAGTAACAATGCATCACAAGAAACAAGTGTCGATATAGATGGCGTCTTCCCTTGCACACAGCGACATGATCTTGCCTAGTAAGAGCTAAATGTTGTATTTTAACGTCAAGATGATAGCTGAACTAAAATACCGTACCTAACACGTTCGTATTAAAAGCTCTGAATGACACCATCCATTCTGAGTCTCATTCATTGTTTCTTTTTAAAGTTTCTTCCCGTCATCTAGTTTTCGTCTATATTCTTTGTAGTATAGTCAGAACTAGCAGAAGATCTGTGAAAACTAATTGAAGTTCAGTTTTACATTAAGAAAAGCATACTTCACAACAAGAATAGCTTTAAAGCAGGTTTTAATACGAAAATCGTACGGGTTAAGAAACTTGATTATTCCATAGTTTAGCACTCTAAACTTGGATTAAGGGGAAAAGCAAGATTTCATGTACTTCAGATAGTATTTGAAGTACAATGAATATCTCTAGCAGGCAAGAGTTAGAAAAGCGCATGCAAGCGTACAGCCGAGAACCTCGACTGTGAGCTAAACACGTCAACTAATAAAACGCGAAAAAAGCCCGGTCTTAACGTTCTGAAAGTGCCAATTAGATAATCGAAACGACTTTTTATTAGTTGACGTGTTTAGCTCACAGTCGAGGTTCCCAAGTTCTTGCTTATCTGGGTTAAATGCGAGTGGAGTACTTCACTTTTGAAGTGGTGCTTTTCCTGCCGTACTGTTGAATGCACATTTTTCGATAGAGTTCCATAATAATTACGAAAGAAAGTTTGGATAGAGATCGCAAATAAAGGCCAAAAATGGATGTTGGGAGCAGTTTTAAAATCAATCTGTTTTCATAAAAACATGCATTTTGCGTCCAATGCCATCTGCCATAAGTTTCACGTCGCATCCGTGCTCTAGAATTGAGAGGGAACAGTTGCAAAGAATCAAGAGCCGGTGATGAAACTTACACTTTTGGAACAGTTAATCAATCAATAGTACTGGTCATGTTTATGGGAACAGTCTCCCAGTGATGATAATAAAGCTTTGAAATTATTTGCTTCAAGATCGTCTTCAATCACTTTGTCATGTCCATGTGAAGAGGTACCATAGATCATTGTTGACTTGCAAAATGTACTTAGATTATCTGTTTGACAAATTCATAGGATGACGAAAGAAGCGCATTTTGAAAAAGAAATTCCTTGAACCTACAAAAGATGTGTTTGTGAAAACTCTCCAACTTTATTCATATTTTACGGTTTTTTCTCACGATGTAACTTCATTAGCTCTCCATAAGGTCAAGATATGTGTTGCAAAAGTTCCTATCTGTATAAGTTTCGTTCCAAAACATTCTGAGTTGTAACCTGACTTCATTGAAATATTCAAGTAAGCTAACAAACTTCTATTTCTCATAGTTCAACACTATACCTGCTAATATATATTCACTTTACGTGATTGTCTCATACATTTTTTTTGCAGCATCATCTTCACTAGTGGTTCTACTGGCTCACCAAAACTGGTATGTACTGATTGAAATGAGACTTTGATTTATACTGACTTTAGGTTCAAATCACTCATGAAAATATCGTCGCATGCATGCTCTCATTTACACATCATCTTGATGTTTTTACACATCATGATATATTTGTTCAGTATGCCCAATGCTCATTTGATGTACATATCCAAGAGAGTTGGGGTACTCTGATGATTGGTGGTTCACTTGTTCTCCTACATCCCAGTGGACATTTGGATCTAGAATATCTTTCGGCAGCCATCTTTTGCCATAATGTAACATACTTAGCCGGTGTGCCATCACTGGCACTGCTGTTATGCGATTATCTTGAAAAAACTGGTCAACGGGAGTTTCTCACTCGAATAAAAGCTTTTGGATTTTTAGGTATGTACTTAATAGCGGTCACAACTGAACGTATATGTCGTAGGCCAATCGCGGATTCAGGCCAACACAGGATTGACCTAGTTCAAACTGAGATCTTAGTTTGAGCTAGTCCAAACCAGGATTGATTCAAAATATTGGATGAAAACTCAGTTTTGACCCTGAAGATGATTTCAGATTTTAGCGTGCATATTCGAAAACTACAACCAAATGGGTATCTCTCGTACAGAAATCGTTGCATTATGAGCAAAGTTGATCCTCTAAAAAGTTATAAGTATTTTTATTTATGAAATCAGGTTCCGCAGAAAACTGGCAATAACGCTATAAACAGTGAAATTTTTCTTAGAATGCAACGATTTCTGCCGAAGAGATACCCATTTGGCTGCAGTTTTCGAATATGCACGCTAAAATTTGAAATCATCTTCAGGGTCAAAACTGAGCTTTCATCTAAGATTTTGGGTCAATCCTACTTTGAACCAGGCCAAACTGAGATCTCAAAATGGTCTAGGCTAATCCTAGATTGACCTACTACATATATGAAGTAAATAACTCTATCTTTTGGCATTATAGAAAGTGTAGGAGAAGAGACTGTAGATAGGCGTTCATCATACTGAGTCAACTCAACTGAAAGTAAATGCATTTGTGACGGCCCCAGTTTAGTAGAGCCAAATCGAAGTAGATGTTATACAGCGTATGACAAAATTATAGACCCCTCACATACTCACACAAAATTACTTATTCTACTTCGACAACAGCCGATAACGACTAACTGATGGCATGCGGACGTGATACCGCATACGTACTATCTATCATCCTGCTGTCCTATTTTGGTTTCTCTGAGAATAGAGAAAAACTTTGAAAATTATAAAAATAGACTATTGCATAATTATAGACCCCTTAGTCAAAAACGCAGTTCTTGAAGTACAGAGGCTGTCGAATCGCGAATTTTTAATATATTTCTTTCATATAGACTAAATACTTTTCATCTTGTGTATTTTAAGTTATTATTTGGAAAACTTTCACGTCCAATTACCTCAAGCTTTTATAATCCCCAAGTATCTATTCGTTCTTGCAAATGTTAATTAGTAGATACTTTTGTTATGACATTTATGTGGTCAAAGCCACTCTAAGATATGTGACTTCTCAAGATCACACCATTTTAATTGAAATTAAGTTCAGTGAAGAGTAGTTTCACAGAGTTAACCGCGAGAAGTATTGCGAGAGTTATGGGTCTTATATGAGATCTCTGAAGAAGTCTTCAAATTCTATGGTTACATAATCTGATGAATTCAACTTAATTGTATGGTTAGAAAGAGTACATCAAGTTGTTCTAAACAACTTATAAAAATGATAACAAAAATGGTCAATACTCAATTGCGGTCAACGACGTTGATTATTAACAAATGAGCACAAGGGAAAGCTGACTGGTGTATTGCGAATGTATTATAATGAGACATCAAGAAGAAATATAGAAATTTCTTCCCTCCCTGAGAATGACAGTTACTGATGTGTCTAAAAATACCAATAAATTGTTTTGGCAATATTTGCTAAATGATAAATCGGCAATTTATCTATTAACCCTATATTAATACATATGCTGCAATCCGGTAGTTTTCAATGCCATTAACTGCAATTGAGTATTGGCCATTTTTGTTATCATTGTTTTTTGAGTTGTTTAGGGCAACCGGATGTACTCTTTCTCACCACACTATTAGATTGAATTCATCAGATCATATAGCCATAGAATTTGAAGATTTATTCAGAGGTCTCCTATGAGACCCAGGGCTTTCGTGATAGTTATCGTGTTGAACTCTTCCAAATTAATCTTTGATGGTTTTCTAGGAACTTAACCCTTTACAGCCGGCTACCAGAAGACATCAAGCAAAATATTCTCTGTCTATATATTCTTTGTTCTTTATGTGTAGCGGTTAGCGGATTTGGGCTTGAACTCTAAAGAACCGAGCCTAAGCGGAATTTCAGTATGTTACCTTTCGGCACCATCTGGCCGTAAGGGGTCAAAAAACTGAGAGAAGTCACTTTGCTCCCCACGCTTGAGTTTCAGTATTTCAGTGTTAGTATAGGTCCAGATCGACATGCGCGGCCACACTTTTACTATTTGTCCACATCTTGCAGTTATAATCTGCGATATATCCCAGGAGCACTTGAAAACATACCACAATAGTGCAAATTTCACCCATTTCTCATGAAGAAACTCACAAATTCACGCAGAGCTTAGTGGAATTCATAGCTCATTGTAATATTTATCTTACAGCCATTATCAAGAGTTGTGGAAACTTAGAATCTGCGTGAACTTGTGAGTTCCTTCATGAGAAATGGGTGAAATCTGCACTATTGTGGTATGTTTTCAAGAACTACCGGGATATGTCGCAGATTATAGCTGCAAGAGACGGACAAATAGTAAACGTGTGGCCGCGCATGTCAATCTGGACCTATAATAACGCTGAAATACTGAAACTCAAGCGTGGGGAGCAAAGTGACTTCTCTCAGCTTTTGACCTCTTACAGCCGGATGCTACCGAAAGGTAACATTCTTGTTTTCTTTGTATTATATATTATCGCAGGATTATTGTTACTGGCGAGACATATTTATAATCCATCTTGAAAAGTTCCATAACAGGTGACTTCACATAGACTTTAGTTGTTGTCTAGAAAAATAATAATTACGATTATATTGAAGTGTCAAGTAATACATGTTTCATCAGATTATTTAGAGACAGACGATCAATAATGAACTTCACCACACGAACAATAGAATTCGCAATACCTTTCCTTAATTATTATGAGAAGAGATCGATATTTTGTCCTAGTTTGAACGAGTTCTTGATGAAATAGTTTTCCGATGTTACCATTAGGTACCATCCGACCGTACAGGGTTAATGTCAGTTAGAACACCATTGCTCGTAGAAGTGACACGTGTTGGATTCGTTTTGAATAGATAAATGGTATAGCACGCATATACACATATAAAGTCTCATGGGGACCTATAAATACCTCGAAATCATAAGGACTTGAAGTAAACGTTTTCTGATTAAGAGCTCAAAGTATACGAAACAGTTGGAATTCAGTTTATATGAAAGAAATGTGCGAAAAACTAGCGTGCTGGTCAATCAATCAAGCAATAAGATCGGTCACAGATTCTTATGTGATCATGTCTGTTATTGAGTGAAGATTAGATATGATCATGCAAGATCATACGAAAAATCAGATGCAAAATCGTGGTCCCCGATTTCCTACGCCAATTCTTTGTATAAGATTCGCGTATGAACAGATTGCCAGATCTTGTCTGATCAAATTTGACTTTAATGTAAGATTTATATGGATTTCGTGCTATCAGCATTTACTTGACCAGATTTCATCCGATGACTAAACCTGATAAAACTGCATATACCTCTCACGATCACTGTATACTACCTTTGACTTTTCACATGAACTAAAGCTGCATTTTGCATTAAATATTTAGGTTTATATATCAATATTCTCGATATAAGTGAGAAATAAAGTTATTTAGATATATAGATTTACATAGCGATATTTTTCTATAGGAAAACGAAGAGACGTTGTCGATTGATTTTACTGATGACTTTTTGAAGACCCTCGTGTTTCTACATTTATAATTTCGACTAAACGATAGCCTGTGGTTTACCTTTTCCCGGTTGCGCTTTACAGACGAACGTTGGATGTTTAATTAGTGAACGCTGTTAGACCACTTCGCGTTTTTGTCTTCAATATGTTTTGAATAGATTTTAGTCATTTTCTTGAATATTATTGAAACGAATTAAGGGTTTAAGGATATGCACTCATACAGAGTGCAGCTGTTTATAAATTAGAGTATATAATATTAGATTGGGACACTGAATTTCGCTTTGTTTTTAGTCGCGAATATTATAGTGACACTATTGGGATAAAAATTCTGAGGACAAAGAAAAACGTATACGATCGGACAAGGACAGACAAGATCTGCCGTTCATTTATATTTTATTATTCTTTGTAATTGATGCTTATCAGATCTGATAAGATCTTGTAAGAGACAGTCTACTTGATCTTTTACTAGTCTGCTCATCTGAATCTTGCAAGATTTTAGCTTCAATCTGACAACCAGAAACTTGCTGAATCTTAAGAAAACCAAACACGTAAGATATGATACGATCTTGTTCCATGATCAGGCAAAAAATCTTGTATAGGAACGATCTTATACGATCTTGCACGGGCTTACGTCTGATTTTTTTTACCTGGGCGGTTAAACGTGCTAAAAAAATCGGGAAATGGATTTCTGATAAAGAGTTCTATAATTATGGAATAGTCTATCTTTATCATTTTGAAAATTCTTCGCGATCCTCAGGGAAACCGAAATAGGACAACAGGATGATAGATAGTATGTATACGGTCTCACGTCCACATGCCATCAGTTAGTCATTATTGGCTGTTGTTGAAACAGCAATTTTGCGTGAATGTGTGAGGGGTCTATAATTTTGTCATACACTGTAGCCTGGTGTGACTTTATGTATAACTTATGATAACATTAAGTCCTTTTAGAGGGTGACAATGAAGAAGGTGTAGGTGTGAAGGTGAAAGGGGTTAAAATGAGTAACGGGACTGGATGGACTAAAAGATTTTATAGATTAAATGTAAAACTACGCCAGGTAGAACCCATCGGGAAGTCCCGAGTCTGGGCCCCCTAGAAAATTTGATATCTGAAAATTTTCAAGAGTTTTTAGCTTTCTCTCAACAAAAAAATCACTAAAAATTCTGACATATGTAGAATACGTCAGCCATGAACATCAGTATCTTAAGAATAAAACCACGCATTAATGTAACGGTTACGACAAGTGAAAATGAATAGAAGATTTATTTTAAACTTCGAGATAATTAGAGTTGTGATCCGGATCCGGGTCAGAGCATTGTTGAATCCGACGGGCTCTAACGCCAGAGTAAAAGTAATATTTTGTAGATCCCTCACAAAACTACAGATCACTATATGAGCAATATTTTAAAGATCGAGTAAGCAAACCTGTGATGTGTGTGACAATTGATGAATGACATCACATCTCACAAATTAGGTTTCGAGTTTTTTTATAATTGATGTTACTTTATAGGTGAAGCCATCGTTTCAAAAACTATGAAAAGAATAGCCCAACATCTCGATCTCAACACGGTCTCGCTCTATAACTTATACGGGCCTGCTGAGTGTACTCTAGGATCTGTATACCATGAATTCAAAGTTGATGATATTGAACGAGGAGTAATACCTATTGGGCTCCCATTTCCCAACATGCAGGCTCAAGTACTTGATCAATTCTACCAATGGACGGTTCCTGGTATGAAAGGCGAATTATTTCTCGACGGTATTCAACGCTTTCCGGGCTATTTTGGTAGAGATGATTTGACCAAATCGGCCTTTTATGGGTCATTCTATCGCACAGGGGACATTGTTCGGATGGATAAGCAAGGTCTACTTAGCTATATAGGCCGCAAAGATAATCAAATTAAACTGAGAGGACAGCGCATTGAACCAGGCGAAATCGAACGTTGTGTGTTAGAGGCATCACCACATATATCTAAATGTGTAGTGGTCAAATGGGAAGATAATCATCTGATTGCGTATATAGAAGGCTTCGATGTTGATGAGGACAAATTGCGAAAGCATTGCCAATCTCGTCTTCCAATATTCATGATTCCGTCTGCGTTTATTGTACTAGAAAAGCTACCACTGAACGCTAATGGAAAGTTGGATCGAAAGGGCCTTCCTTCTGCCACATCTCTATCAACGACTACGATACCGAATTCGTCACATAGATTAATAGAAAGCCAAGTGCATGCAGCATGGAGTTTAGTGCTTCAANTTGATGAGGACAAATTGCGAAAGCATTGCCAATCTCGTCTTCCAATATTCATGATTCCGTCTGCGTTTATTGTACTAGAAAAGCTACCACTGAACGCTAATGGAAAGTTGGATCGAAAGGGCCTTCCTTCTGCCACATCTCTATCAACGACTACGATACCGAATTCGTCACATAGATTAATAGAAAGCCAAGTGCATGCAGCATGGAGTTTAGTGCTTCAAAGTAAAAATCAATTGATATCGAGAACAGTGAACTTTTTCAGCATTGGCGGTCATTCATTCTTGCTCGAAGCACTATATCGTCAATACCAGATGCTATTTGGCTTTGATTCCCAAGCACTGAATATCACGCCATTCTTTATTGAAGCAACGATTGCTGGACATACAAAACTACTTGAAGAAATGAAATCTATGAACATAGAAACAGTAAAATGGCATTCATTGCATATTCATGAAGGCAATATAGAGTTTTTTGACTGCTAACGCACTAAAGTTTACCTTATAGGTCCACCATCGTTTGCACAGGAGCGTATTTTTGTTGACCAACAGATCCGACTAAATGAAATCCCTGCAGTTTACAATATTCCTCTTGGATATCGTATAATTCCTGTTTCCAAAGAGAAGATATGTATAACTCGCCTTCGACGTGCATTTGACTCCATAGTGGCAAAGCACACGATTCTCCGTACAGCACTAAATTTTGAAGTTAATCACTCTCTTTTAAGGCAGCGTATCATACCGTTAAATACACAGAAACACTATACTTTTCGAATAAGCTATGTTAAGAGCCTCGAAGAAGTATCATCGATTTACAATTATGAAGTGACGAACAAAGGATTATTTGATGTCTCTCGAGGAATCGTTCTTCATGTCCATGTGTTCCTATTCGAGAGGCGGCAAAACTCTTCATTATCAGTGGACGAGCAACAACATTTTTTGCAAGCGGGTGATATACTCGTTGTAAATTTACATCATGTAGTGTTTGACGGTGCATCTCATCAAATATTTTTCAGTGAACTTCGCAGAGCGTATGATCATGATACTATAACGTTAAATCATGATGCGTTTCAGTATATTGATTATTCTGTGCATGAACGTGAAACAGACATGACAGCATCATCTGCCTTTTGGAAATCACATCTTGAAAACTATGATCTGAACCGACGTTTGCCGTTACCATTCGATAGATCTCGATATTTATCGAATAAACAAACAACAGAAGTGTATTTTGTTGAATGGTCATTAAGTGAAGATCTTTCAAGTTCTTTTCTGAACTACGCATCATCTTATCGAGTGACACCATTCCAGCTTGGCCTCACAATATGTTACGTCTTGCTTTATGAATTAACGTGCGGCGAAAGCGACTTGTGCATACCAAGTCTTAATGCAAATCGTTACAGAACTGAATTACATGATCTTATCGGCATGTTCGTCTCGGCTTTACCGCATCACATCCATCTGAACGCTCATGAGTCTTTTAAACAGTTGGCCAAAAAAGTGAGAACCTTATGCCTGTCAATACTTCAACACTCATACTATCCTTTGCAAAAAATACTAGTCGATTTTCGTCAGCACCGATCAGATTCCGGTTTTCTTGAGACTTTCTTTGATTGTCAAACTTCACCGCCAGATCTTGATCAAATAATTCTCGGCGGCGTAGAGTTCAAAAAGTTCTCGAATTCTATCACTAGTCTCGTACCTAAGTTCGATTTCGCATTCGCACTTTTTGTTAATTTCACATTACCAACCACTACAATCACGTGTACAGTACGGGGCTCTCGTGAAATATTCAATGAATCGACTGTGCATAAAATGGCTTCTCAATGCCAATCTTTGTTGACACAACTCTTCGATCCCAGTATAACAAATCATGAAAAAGATCATTTGATACCACTTACACAAATATTCATCAATTTGTTCAAAGCATCAAACGTACATCAAACAATGTTCTATCCACTGCCTCACAGTTCTAATATTGGTAAGAAGTTCAAACAATTTTTGCGTTATGTAGTGAGGTCCGTTTCCACTTTCACTAAGGGAATACTAAACTGTGAAAAACAGTATTTGTAGCAATTTTTTCAATCTCACTCTTTTATTCGCGAACCAAGTAGACCTGCGACAGTTCAAGTTTAATAGTTCCTATGAACTGTAAGCTGTAACTATAAAATAGTTGAAGTTCAAAAGAACTATAAAGAATTAAAAGTTCTATTTGAAACGAACTATAACTATCGATCAGTTCTATTTCAAAAGAACTAGCCATATGAATTAGTTCAAGTTCAGATGAACTGTCATGCGGTGCTAGTTCCTAGTCAAAGAATCGAAAAAGGACTTCAAGCTATAGAATCAATTCCCGTTAATTTTGTTACTTTGACTCAATTTTCCTTCGATTCAATATGACAGAAGTATGTAANATTCTATAGCTTGAAGTTCTTTTTCGATTCTTTGACTAGGAACTAGCACCGCATGACAGTTCATCTGAACTAGAACTAATTCATATGGCTAGTTCTTTTGAAATAGAACTGATCGATAGTCAGTTCTTTTGAACTAGAACTGTTCGAAAGTTATAGTTCGTTTCAAATAGAACTTTTAATTCTTTACAGTTCTTTTGAACTTCAACTATTTTATAGTTACAGTTCTTAGAACTAAACGGGAACTGTCGCAGGCCTACATACAACTGTTATCGTACTTTTCGAAAAAAGACACTAACAATCTTAGAAATCATGAATGAAGGTGCCCAGAGATCTGAGATATCAATAAGACGAAAGAATTCATAGAAAAAAGTTCTGTGACCATCTTCATTCATGATTTCTAAGACTGTTATAGTGTCTTTTTTCGAAAAGCACGATAACAGTTGTATGTATACATGCAGTGGTAGAAAGCACGTGAGCATCACCTTTTCTTAGATCGGTCTCAGCAAGTAATTGTTTCATGGCTGACATCAGGGTATTTCATACAGCAAACCCACGCAATATCAGTCTTTAACTCGGGTCATCATCTGAAGACCTTCCCTTGTAAAATTTATTACAATGATACGATATAGTTTTTTAAGGTGTTTGATAATTGGCAAGTAGCGCCCGCCGTGCCGACTCACTTAACCCTCGACTTTGGAGGACAGATATTTTTTCGTGTCCCAAATGTGATACAAATTGATCTAACAATTTCACACACGAAGAAACAATTCAAATGTTTTGCGCAGATATATTTAGTAACTTTCGAAAACAGAATACTGAATTTTTTCTACTTTTTTTGGAGAGGCATATAAAACCTCAATTTTATACTACCAATGCAATATATAATAAGAAGAGAGAAACGATGACGCAATACAATAAGCACTAGGGCCACTTCGATCGAACAACATATCAAATGCGCCGCGAACCATACACAAGAGTCAAGAATATAGAACATCAAACATCAATCTTAGTCTCCTATAAGTCAATGTCACTTTTCAGCCATCCTGACCCTTATCTACATACTTCAGCCCATCAACTTCACTACCACGAGACCACACGCTATTCCATCCAAAAATAGGCAACTCCGCAAAAAAGCAACTCCAAATATAATAAACACTCGACTATAAAAGAATATTTTTATCATTAATCCAAATGTACTACGAACACCAACAATAATCATCCCTTGCTCGCAGAAGTTTTATTTCTTTGTCGTTCTCAAATTCCTATATATTTAATATGTCTAACTTAGTGGATTACGATTACATTTGACACACGTGATTTTGGCAAATGTACCTTTTGATATCTCTATTTTTCGCTTTCAGTGCATTTAGCTACGGTAATACATACGATTGTTTGTCGTTCTTTTATTACTCGCAAGATCAGTTCCAGTACCATAAAACTTGGAATATCCTAGCCATTTCAACTGTCTTCTGACAGCACTCCTAGCCATCCCACACCCACATCAGCTTCGTATTCCATTATAAACAAATAACAAGAACTGAACACCTAGCCTACACAAAAATGGCGAACTCAGGGAACACAGGCGCCGATCATCGATTCCAATCACCCATGTCCACACACCAGTCCCAAAAAGAGCCCATAAACGCCCCCCCCCCCCCCCCCCCCCCCCACACAACCCCCAAAGTGTTCCCCCCACACCCCCCCCCCCCACAGACC